TTAAGTTTTTCCGGCGAGTGGTTATCGCTTTGGACACCCACGTGCTGTCGGCGCGTGTGGCGTGGCACTGTAGCAGAGAGACATTTTATCCTAGAATGATCCTTGTGTTGTCACGAGCGCGTAGGAGTTTGCGGATCTCAATTTGGATATCGTTTGGGCCTCGAACCAATTTGACATATTATGTGATTTTCGTGTGTGATGTGTTTGGACCGTTGGATCAAACCCAAATTTCACGTATGTTGTTCCTGGTATTCCTAGGATCGCATAGGAATTCGCGGATCGTGAATTGGAGCCTCGGATGTTCCGATTCAATGATTTAAAGTTTATGTTTTACGTTAACCGTTCGATCGTGAGTTTTGACCGTCCGGTCGACCGAGTGTCTTCCGAGACTTTTCCAGCGTTTGAAACTCTTAGGTGGACCCTAGGAGTGTCTCGTTCCTCGTGCGTACTAGAAACCCGGGAAAATTAGGATTTTATTTTAAAGTCTTATTTTGAAGAGTTGGATTTTTATATCGTATTCCTATTCTGAAATAGGTAATCCGACTCCGCCTTCGGAGCAGGCAGGACCCTCTCGGGGTCACGCAGCTTGGGACTACTTGTGAGTGGACTTTGTTTTCAAATAAATAGCATGGATTTATCTTGGAAATTGCATGTATAAGAATTTAAGGATTTACTGACAGTTAATTTGTGCTTTAAAGTGAAACTAATATGTTCGTAAGTATTTGGTATATTTTCTGGGTTTTGATATTCTAAGTATCTTGAGTATATATGAATTGATATATGTGAATTGTTATCTATCTTTGAGGGCTATGTGTGGGAAGTACGGGGTTGTTTTATGAGTTGTGGAAAGATGTGGTATAGATTGTCAGTGAAGTGCTATAAGCACTACCCCGTGTACCTCCCCCTGGATTTGTGAATGGATTATGGAAATGTGATACTTGGAAATATCGGAACCCGGGGCATACCTTAACGGGGTGTCGCTGTAGACCCTTAATTGGGTAGTCTGCGCGCGTAGGACTGTTTACAGGCGTACGGGTCTTGATTCTTCGTCCGTACGTGCTGGCTGAGAGTTAGTCCCCCAGTTGGACGGCTTGTCCCTAGCCACATAGTCCG